CATCTGGCAGTGTTTATTACAATGAAACCAAATCAATACTTCTGTCTACTACAATATCTGTCCACAAAATAGTCATTCCTCCTGGCATCCACCAAGAAATACTCAACTATCTATTATAGTAGCCTTTGTCAGCAAAAACAGAGGTTGGCACCCTAATTCTTCTATTAGAAAGGGTTAGATGTACCTAGACACAAGAATGATGACGGAAAATTGCAGAGAGAGATGCAGTTTGTAGCATCACAAAGAATATTAGAAATTAATAAAATCACAGAAATGAAATTTCAAAGCTATGAACTATTTTGGGTTGGAAGCAACCTTCAGGATTATATTGTTCCACCTTGTTCCCCCTGCCCCAGGCAGCGATACATTCCACTAAAGCAGGTTGCTCAAAGCTCTGTCCAGCCTGGCCTTAAACACTTCCAGGGATGGGGCATGCAAAACTTCTCTGAACAGCATCCCTAAAGAATTTCAAAAAGCAGCATATCCCAGATTTTTTTCCTTGTGCTTCAGGGGAGGGTCCTGGTTGATGGAAAGTTGAAGCTGAGCCAGCAGTGCCCTGGAGCCAGCAGGGCCAACCCTGTCCTGGGGCATCAGGCTCAGCATCACAGCCGGGCAGGGGAGGGGATTGTCCCCTCTGCTCTGAGCTGGGGCCTCACCTGGAGTATTGTGTATAGTTCTGGTCACAAGATAAGAAGGGTATAAAGCTGTTAGAGAGCGTCCAAAGTAGGGTAATGAGGATGGAGAAGGGCCTTGAAGGGAGCCAAGTGGGGTGATGAGGATGGAGAAGGGCCTTGAGGGGAGCCATATGAGGAGGGGCTGAGGTCACTTGGGCTGTTCAGCCTGGAGGAGACTGAAGACAGACATCACTGTAGTTCATCGTTGTGAGGGTGAAAGGAGGGGCAGGCACTGAACTCTTCTGTGGTGAGCAGTGACAGGACCTGAGGGAATGGCCTGAAGCTGGGTCAGGGGAGGTTTAGACTGGATATTGAGAAGAAGCTCTTCATCCAGAGGGTGATTGGACACTGGAACAGGCTCCCCAGGGAAGTGGTCACAGCACCAAGCCTGACAGAGCTCTCAGGCACATGGTGTGACTCTTGGGGTGTCCTGTGCAGGACCAGGAGTTGAGCTCGATGATCCTTGTGGGTCCCTTCCAACTCAAGACAGTCTATGATTCTATGATTACTTTTGCTAGTGAGCTACTAGGCCTTTTGAGGCACTTTAAAGCTATAAGTAAAGGAAGAAAATTTGACTTCTCATTTCCTTTTGAAGTCAGGATTCAAAAAGAAGTGATACTGAACCTTTCCACATAATTAAAAAGCCAAAAATAAATTTGTTTTGAAAGTTCTGTGTATTAGAATTTCCAAGTAAGCCCTTTCATTTTTTGCTATTTCTGTATTTGCATTGCTGCACATCACTGTAGAAAAACTAGCAATGTTTCGTGCAATGAAAAAAGTCACTAAGCATTAGCTTAGTTCTTACTGAATCTTCACCTTTCTGAAATCTAAGTGCCTCTTGCAGTCTAACAAACAGATTGACGTGCAATAAGATATGCATTACTACTTACATGTCACAAAATTAAGCAAAAAATAACAAAACCACACATAAAAATCAATAGTATTATTTCCTCCTTACATTTTTAATTGCTATAATTTTGCTTTTGTTGAAACAGTCATTTCCAAAGAAAAATGATATGTCTGATTAATGTGACTAGACATAAAATAAATGTACATTTGCCCCTGTTTAATTTCCCATTTTGCTTGCTCATTGTTCAAGGCATTTCTATTTGTACAGGACCTAGAGGTGAAATTAGATCTTCTGTGCTACACTAAATCCTGAGCCAGGGGCTATGTTCAGAAGTTATCATGGTGATATGTTACCTTTTTCCCATAAAAACTTCACTCTGACAAGATTATTGGGATTGTAGTTATGAACTGGGGAGAGCTGGGAGAAGAGGGGACACAATTTCTTTTAATCTCTCCTGGTCTAGGTCTACTGGGCAGAGGAGAGCACATTTTTATTTGGACTGAGCAGCCACTATATGCCATTATATGTGGTGCCTTTTCTGTAATTTGTGTTTGGTAAGATTCGCATTAGGATTTCTTAAGTTTCTAACTATTTCTTGTTCTCCATACCAATAATGTCTTACTAGAACTTAAAAGTCCTAATGACATGGCCATTAAGAGTGAGCTGGGGAGGAATTATAACAACAGTGCTATATTGGCAAAATAGTGAAAGAAAACAAAACCTGATCTTCCAAGCACTGAAACTGGTGAAAATCCCATGAAAGTAAATGGAGTCCCTATTTAAAGGGCAACAGTACCACCCCCACTGCTATCCATTTAGCCACATGAATTAGTGCTACACTTGCAAATACACAGAATATTTGATGTAGCTTCAAGTGAGAAGATTGAGATTTCAAAAGTGCAGAACAGGCTCCATTATCTCTTTCTATATCTAAAGAACAGGACAAATGCAGTCTGGGTTCTGAAAGCTCTCAACACTGAGAAAGATCAGCACAGGAGTTTCCACTTGCATTTCAGTGATGCAGAGGAATAAAAAAGCCAAACTGGGACAGAGACTGGGACTTTTACATGTGGATTCAGGGCAAGCAAGAGCCCAGCCCCAGTTCAACGAAGCATAGATTTGTCTGAACTGTATATGAAACTTGCCAGTTCCTCATCAATTCCACAAACTGAAGAACTGTTTTGTAAGTTAGTATTAAAATTGACCTATATAAAGTGGGGGAAAGAGAATAATATCTAACAAATATAGTCTTGTAACCTTTCACAAAAATAACTCCAAACCACCTGAAAATAGGAATAAATCCAAAATAAACCTTCATTTAACCACTACTGGGCACAAACATGCATGTGACAAATTTTACGTCACTTTGGTATTAAACAGGATAAATCTAGTTGTTTCAAGAAAAAAAAAAAAGGCTCTCTAAAGTAAGCGGGATGTATTTATTTTCCCACTATCTTTACCAAAAGGTAAAACATTTTCCTCTCCATCAGTTCAGGAAAGTCCTGCATTTCCAGCAGGACAGCAGCCAGAGAGGTTGGTGTCTACCTGGGGCAGGACTTTTGGAGAGGGGAGAAAAGATGAATACATAAATGCATCAGACAGACAGACCATAACCCAACCTATGTAAAGGCCCAGCTCAAGCATACATGTTTGCAATGATTCCTGTCACCACTGAAAAGAATGAGTATGAATTCCAAGGACTTTTTTTTTTGGGGCCAGGATTTCTCTATCTATAAAAGAAGTGATCAGAAAATGGCAACCCTTCATCCAGAAATGGTCTGCAGAGACCTGGCAGGGATCACAGGTGATACTTATGCTTGCAGAACCTCTCTGGGCACTGCAAAGAACACTGGCTTTGTCACATTGCTATCTTGCAGCCCTGAATTCCTCCCCGTTCCACAGCCCTGACCTGCCAGCTCTAGGAAGCAGCAGAGAGGAATTATGATGTCCTATCCCATTCAGGCAGTGGGACCAACTACTGGCAGCAGTAGAAATGAGACTTGTTTCATAACATGGATATTCAGGCTTCCAACCACGTAGGCAAAGAAAAAGGGAGAAAAGCCTACTACCCCTTCCAAACTTCCACTAGTGCACACATGATTAATCACAACACAGCTTTGAGAATTAGTTCAGCATTAAATAAAGAAATTCTGTTTTGTTCTATAGTCTATTTCTTTTACAAGAAATAAAAGCATAAGGAGCTTAAAGAATATCTACTATATGGTATGGATACATTCTAAACATTATGACAGAGACAGTGTGAGAGATTTCTAGAAATTAAATGCTTTTAAATGTAATTAAGTCATAATGAAGACAATCACATAGAAAACTGTGCCACTGACAGTCTGACAGTGCAGGGGCACTAGAATTGTTTTCCACCATTCTAAGGCACAGGAAAATTCCGGCTATCTCATGTTGATGAAAGGCAAATTCTATAATGGGACAGAAAACACATTAATTAAAAAGTAAAATGAACCTAGCACATTTGGAATTCCCTAGGACACAACTGATTTGCAGTAAGGAAAAATATCTTGCTGGTAAGAAATCCCATCAATGGAAGAATCACCAAGTCCTTAGTCTCTAGAGCTTCCCTCTGGTTGCCTTTAGGCTGAACACAATCCAACAAGAGCTTCCCTGTGCCCTTAATACATCCCAAGTACTGGACAAAGCCCCTAACTCTGGGGTTTGAATTCCACTTGGAGTCCTGCACCTAAATGTTACTGCATCTAGCTTTGGACCTGGCAGCACACTGTCCTCTCACCACCTATTTCCAAATCTTTGCAGTAGTCTGAGACTTACATATGAGAAGAGAATGATGTTTTAAGAATCACAGAAGTCCAGGGACTATATGAATGCAAAGCTTCGGTTCAATTCTTTGCTAGATATCTAGAGCTGTACTAATATCTGAATGTTCTCTTCAGTGCCAGCTCCATTCTGGAGCCATGACTATCAGCACACAGGCACAAGAACACACAGAATAATAAAGACTGTTTAAGAGACAAAAAGTTTGCCATGATAAATGTGTTCTTGAACTGTAAGCATGATCAGAGGAAGGGCAGATGTAGCCTTAAAAGAGCAGTATTTTCTAAGCCACACACACACACACACACACACACACACACACACACACAAAGAAGCTAAGAAGTTGTAATATGCCAATTTCTGGCACAGGAAGAAAACCTAAATGGGATCATTTGTGGTGCAATGTCACATGGCCAAAAGGCACCAAGACAAATTAAACAGCACTGAAGCCCTAGCAAAAGTAAAAGGAATAATCCTTTTCTTCCTGCAGGATGGAAAGAGTTATGAGGAATCAAACCTTTTATATTCAGGTGCATCACTACCTATAGCAAGCTTGCCCATTGACTCAGGGATTTTTCACTTCTAAACATGTTATACTTCCAGTTGAGTTGATAGACTGATTTAGTTCTATACCTTCCTGGTCACCTGGTTCCTGACCCCTCAGCATCCTCTCTCGGCATTCCTCAGGTTTTTGTGATGCCATGACTGCTGGAATTTCCCTCTGGTTGCTAACAACATGCAGGCTAAAGCTGTCAGTAAGTCACTAAATTCACCCCCCAAAAGGATGATCATTTTAGAGCTGTTTGCTTCAGGAATCCAGTATCACTTGTCCTGGGGAAGTGACAGCCACTCAGACATAAGAAGGTTAGTCGTGTATTAAAACAGGGCAACAGACATGACAAAACAGATTATCCTCTTCACTTGAAACCCTAAATGAGTGGAAAAAGGAACTGGGAAGAAGGGCGAATTCATCTGTCTCTGACTCCGATTTTTCCATTGATGGTCTGATCTTACAAACTCTATACATAGGAACTGTGCCACTATAGCCCACCTAAAAGAACTGGGGTTGCATGATCATGATCTAATCTGGTTTGTATTCAGAGAGGAATGCAGTGATCTGGTGCACAACTGCTATCATTGCTGTTGAGAAACATACACCTTATTTCTTGAAAAACCGATAAGAGTCACCAGCAGACTGGTATGATTCTTGATTACTTGCTGCAAATCTTGGAAGAAATGAGGTAACACTCTTCCATTCTACAAAAGATTTTATTTATTCAAAATTTCAATAAGAACACTGCACGAACTAGAATGAAATTTCTAAGGAAATATGATGAAAAAAATCTGCCAAAGAAAGCAACAGGTTCAAAAAATTGTTAATGCAGGTTTTGACTCAGAGATGCCTTCAGTTATTGCTGACAACAAAACATTTTGCACAGTCAAATACTTCTTTTTGGTTATTATTTAAAAATAAACAAATAAAAGAAATATTCTGATCTCTTTTATGCCAGTGGAAACTGTTAAAAACAACAGACCTATTTTGGCACAACAGATTAAAATCTCTTCCTAATCTATTATCTAGATACTTTGAGGCAATGGCAGGAAAGAGTGCAGTAAGAATGATATTCTCTATAGTAAAATTCAGAGCTAGACCATTTAGCCTAGTGAAGAAAACAGACCAGAAAATTTGGGTAACTGACATTCATGAGACTGCCCTACATCAGTCTCTGGAATTTGAAATGATTCAGCGAGAGTGTCCTCAGAGACACTGATGTAAATATGGAGTAACCACAATGCCTTTCACTGGAGGCCCTCCCATTATACACTGGTTTAGCTAAACAATTTCATTTCAGATAGACCAAAATAGGAGTACTTTGGAAAAGGCCAGGTCTGTGTTGCTTTTTTTCCTTTCATAGTTTATCTAATGATATCTCTGGTCTGAGATAACCTTCCTTGCTCAACAATATTTAATCTTTATTTTACTTGAAGTAGAGTAGCAAATGCCTTGATAAATGGAGTGAAAGATTTTTCCACTTTCACCATAACATCTTCAGGTGCTGAAATGTTTTACTGCAACTTGCTACAGCAGTGCTACACAGGGAATCAATGCTTATATTCCCATGCCTTTTTAACATGAGTGAATCATTGCCCATACTCCTTTATATACTAAAACAACCACACACCAGAGAGCCATTTTCCTATCCTCATCTATTGTGGCCACTATTCTGCAAAAACACAAGCTTCCATCTATGAAAAATGTCATGTTTCTACCCATTTGTACATTACAGCTGATGTTCTTAACCTGCAGACCTACAACACACAAAGCCCCACACAACCCCTCCACCTCCCAAGAAAACCCTTAAACATTTGTAAGAAAACAAAAAAAAAACCACGAGAGATTTAATAAAAAATAATTCCCAACTCCTTTTCTGTGCTAAGTTGTGAATGAGACTGATGAAAACCAACCCGAGAACTAAGAAAATTTTCTTAGTTCTTGGCCAACTGCATTTTGAGATTTGCAGTTTCATGAAGTGAAAACATCATTCTAGTATGTTTGCATGAAAATTCAGAAAACAGAGGCAATCATAAGAAAAGAGAGACAATTACAAAGCTCCTAATCTCCTGAGACATTTACCTTTTTGTAGCAGGCTTTACTCCAGCCTCATTACATATTTGCTCTGATCATCAATCCTATTTGCAACTTTCAACTGTCTCCATGTTCTTTAGCAGAGGAGCTTGTATCAGACAATACCTGGAATGTCTCCATTAATCCAAATTTTAAAAACCAGTAACTGAGACAAATCAGTATTTGTGCACTGACTGGAAAGAAACCCCTGCAGATTCACCAAGACTGAAAATGTGTTTCTGTATCTATACAACTCCCTCCTCCATCCTTCTCTAAAAAAAGAAGGGCCAAAGTAAAATGCTGGCAGCCCAACAAAATCTTTGAAGACACAGAGTGCTTTCCAGTTATGAGAGGATGTAAAAATGAGCACCCTGGAGATCGTTTGGGAACATTAGGCTTTATTAATCAGGAATGTACTTGCCACATACCAACATTCCCAAACGGTACACTGAATCAGATAAATGTTGGGGAGTAGCAGAACCCATCCAGTTTGGTCCTCTGTCTTACGGGAAGTTTCAGCACACTCTGAGAGGTGGCTTTCCAAACCAATCCTTAAAAAAGAAACCTCCCCTGCTTCCATAGTACCTATAGGTTGTGTGTTCCAGCACTTTGCAACCCATACAGTCAGAACACGGCTCCTAATATCTAACTTGGTAATTTTCACTGCTCATTGAACTGATTTCTTTAGGTCTTTCTCCCAGCGGACATGAAGAACAATTAATCACTGTGCTCTTGATTATAAATTTTCACTCACTAGATGATTTTTTTTTTTTTAGTATATTCTCCTTAAGGTACAAGAAAAGCAACACTTTCAGAAGAATGTAATGCCAGGTAGGGCTCCTACATATCCTCTTGCCCCTGGGCCAGGTAACAATCAACCATTTCTGCTTTCTCCACAATTTTAACTCTAGGACAATTTCTGCCTTGACAAACATTTTTGACCTCTCCACATTTCCACTGGGGTTTCATAGGTAGAAATCAGGGCAGAATTTATCCCCATGAGTTTCTGGATTAATGCCTTGGTAAAGGAAGGGGAAAAGGCAAAATTAATTCTCTTTGTTAGTGCTAATGCTATTCCTCAGGGATAGTGGGCCCCAAGACATTGATCTTTGTTCAAAGCAAGCACACTTCCATACTCATTTCACATTTGCAGCACAGCTTCTACAAGCCAATATCTGCATCAAAAAAAAAAAAAAAAAAAAAAAGGCTTAAACTCTGGAGAGCCTGCATTCTGTCAGAGGACCAGGAACTGGGAATGGACTCAAAGCCCATCTTAGCCCACCTGAAATTATAGCTAAAACAGCAAGTTATAGGAGGAAAGGTCAGATCCATCAAGAATCATGAGGATTCTTGCACTGTAAAGAACATGGTATTGCATGTAGTGCTTGTTTGTTGCTTCAAAACTCTTCCTTCATCTAAAAGCAGAGCTGTGATGGACGAAGGCCTCCTCAGCCCTGACATCCTGACGTTACACATGCAGCCTGCACTCTGGGATGCAGCTTACTGTGTCACATTGGCTTGGGCTCTGCCTCTTCCCTTCCTTATGCCTGCAAGCTCAATTGAACTTATGAAAATTCAAACTGTCTTCTGTCTGTTTCATACATCATCATCAAACAATCACTAGACAAAATGAATTTGCTCTCTGTAATTTGGAGGTTACACAAATGCCTCTGCTGTATAATGCAGGAAAAAAAAAAAAAGGAATGAAGTATGATATGCAAGGTTAACTCAGCATGGAGGAAAGTAGTAAAGAAACAGAGGAAGAACACGAACAATAAAATACTCAGAAGTGGAGAGAGTGACATGAGAAATACTTCTGTAAATTGGAGTAGGCCTTGCTACTTTAGAGTGATGGGATTAAACAAAGGCACAAGCAAGTTGTGAAAGATCACCCCCGAGAGTGACTGTATCACCATTCTTCATTATTTGTCTACACAACATACTTATTTATAATAACAATGGTTACTATTTATCCCCTAAGAGCTCTGCAAACACAAATTCACAAATTCAGTAATGTTCATAGAGCTGTATTAGTTTGAACCAGACTGAAAGAGTGATCTGCTGAACAAGGCACAGTGAGGTTAAATAACTTGTCCAATGCCACTCATTATCCATAATGAATATCAGTATCCACTCAGTATCCATAAATATTAGAACACTGGATCTCTTGGTCACTGATCAGATCAGGCTGTGTAAAGCTGAAACCTTGACAAACCAACCTCTTTTTTAAACAAAAATAACATTATTGCCCTCAGCCCATGGCAACGTAACTAAAACTATTGCTTTGAAAGTACATATTTTTCTTTCACACACAATATGTATGCTGTCATTGTCTTATTCCAAAATCATGCAGACACTGAGTGTGAGCAGAAGTACCTCCTCATGCTTGACTTAGTCCTATTTGGAGTTAGCTGCAAACAGCAAAGTACTGAACCACATCCTTAAAGTATTTGAGTAGTCCCATTGACCTCAAAAGATCTGCTTCCCTATCAACCCATATGACTTTAGTTCAGAGGACCCAACACAGCAAGAATCCAACCCACAGACCTTTTGCATTAGGAGAATATCTGTACCACATTCAGCAAGTGGAGTTTTTCATGCAACTGTCTGACAGATGTTCAGACAGTGTATCTTAATGTATCTTCTAATGCCATGTACCAAGTATTTTTTATTAGACAAAATTTGGCTCATCTAATATTAATCATTCACTTTAGGGACACCCCTACATTAAAGTAAGATTTCCACCCTTTAATTAAAGAAATAAATTACAAAACTACCAGGATATGGCTTGCCTTTTCTCCTTGCTGTTTTTGGGTTAATACATGAAAGCCCAAATGGCAAGTTCACCTTTTTAAAGGTTCTTGCAATTAGAAACATCTGATTACAGCAAACATACAGGAAACAAAAAGAAATCCTTAAAGCATAATTTCTTTAATAAAAAGTGCCACTATTTTTATTGTATCAAGCAACTACTTACACGAACAAGAGGTATAACAAGAACCACATTTTCATTTTACAGGATATATTTGCTTATGTAAAACTTTCCTCACCTTGTTCTTCTGTATTCCAGAGACAGGCTATACCAAGGCTACAGAACTCAAGTGCAGCTACAAGTTTAAAAGTGGGGTTGTTTGTGATTTTTTTGTTGTTGTTGCACTTGTAGTTTCTTTTGTTTGTTTTTTTTGTGGGTTTTTTTAGCTATTAGTACAAGAAACTCAAGCATTAAAAATACAGCCCTTTACTTCATGGAAAGGAAAGAAGACCTAGGCAGAACAGTCTTAGGAGTCATGATCCCACACTCCATTCCCAGTTTGACCACTGATTTACTTGGATCTTGAGGCTCAACATCTCTCTGTGAATGCACTTGACACTCTTAATAAAAAAAGGAAACCAAAAATATTTCCTGAACGCGAGTTTTACACTTGTGTATTTATTTTCCCTTCAAAATTTAGAGTCTCATATAACTAAAAAAAGCTCATCCCAGCCAGCACCAATTGCTACTCTTATTTTGTCTTGGGCTCTCCATGCAGGACTTAGTGACCATCTGGATCCTAAGGATTCAAAAACTTGCCTTAACTCACTCTTACACTGCTGCTGCATTTTGGAAAAAGAATTACTCCTGCTTTCCAACAAAAATTTTCCTGGTTGTTCACACTAAATTGCAAGACAAGCATGAAATTTGGTACTCACAGATTCAGAAGAGCTCCCCCATTTTTCCCTGAACACCTCCCTTTAAATTGCTGCTGGACCCAGCAAATCCATGTCTGTTTTCAACTTAGCCCACCAGTGTAATTGCAAGGTTAACCTCTGGTGGCCAGGGAAGCTGCTCACATTCAGCAGTGAAGAGCAGAACATGTTAAATACCATTCACTGGCCACAGCCTGCAGTTAATACACAATATTTAAACAACACAATGGCATGGCCCTTGCCAGTAATGTGAAAACACAGTGGAGTAGAGCCAGAATGGCACAATCTGCCTGTCTGAGTCATGCTTGGCGCTGTGTGCTGGAGGGGAAGGCTTTAGCTGCCCACAGTGTAACTGTACCCCCCAGCTAATTTACAATAAAACATTAAAATATATTAAAAAATAGGAGTGTGTGTGGGGGGGTGGTGGTAGAGGCATGATAAATCCCCTCTAATAGTTAAAATATTTTAAAACTGAAGTACAAAAGTGCCACTTTGGAAGAAGGCTCTGGATTTCATTACAGACTGCACATTTTGATCTTAAACAAGAAAACAAACTGACTTTGCTTTGTAATAGTCCACAGCTTTGTACTATTCAAATGAAATCGATATTTTTCCTTCTTTCTACAAGCTTCTGGATTTTTTTCATATATTATTTCATTTGATTAAGAGTATCTGAATCTGCTATATTTTCCAATCCTCTTTTGCATGCCTGTTGTTCAGTCACTGAAGTTCCAAATCTTAATTATTAACCCAAATGCATTCAATAAACAGATGCTAAATAAGTGTAGATCAGAGTGATGTGCAATCTGACTTGCATTTATGGAATAACTATGCTCTTATAAAAAGACTCCTTTCTTGCTGAGACGTAGATGTTACTTTGACTGTTTTGTTGTGTCACAGCAGAGATGAATTAGGCATTTCTGCCTTCATCTGCACCCTAAAGCAGCTGAAGTCCTCTGTGATGTCATCAGAAAGTTTGTTTTTTTTCTCATACAAAGGAGAAGAATTTGTTACGACATCATGAGAAGAGAAAAAACTGTATTTTGTGCTAAAAGGAATCTTCTGCTACTTTCTGTTATCTCTGCACAATCTGCACCAGAAATCCTCTCTGACAAAGCAACAGCAACTGTAAGTCAGAGATGCACAGTATTCCTAATACTATTCAAAACAAAGCAGGGAAGAATGATCTGTTCAGTGCTCTGAAATTAAAGATCTGCAAGATGTAAGTTCCTTTTTAATTTTTAAATAAAACATCCTTTGAACTTCTAAATCCCATTCAAGGGGACTCTGACCTTTATCCAAGACCAGCTACTGTGCTAACACTTTGGATGCATACAGAGGAAAAATACAGACAAAAGGTACCGGAAAAGCTTTTACTTACAGGAATGCAGTGTGGCTTAATCTTTTTGTTTTTAAGGTGCAGTGATTTCAGCATCTACAATGTAACTTCAGGCAGTCTGAAAAGAAACAGGTTAAAATCTCTTTCAGTTATAATTGGTATTTCAGATTTAATTAAAAATTAAACTTTCATAATGTTTCACCATCCAAAGCAATGCATTATCAGTCAAGCGTAGCCTTTTTTTTTTTTTTTTTTTTTTTTTTTTTTTGTTAAAAGAAGCTCTTCCCAGACTAGTTTGCAATGAAAGAAAAAGGGAAAAAGGCAATTGAGAGTAGCAAAATATATTTCTTCAGCAAAAGACCTCTGAATAATTTGGAAAGAAGCCTTCTGCCACTTAATTTTAACAATCAACCTTATACTAATTAAAAAAAAAAACCCCACAATTAAAAAAGACAGAAAAACACCACCACATACCAAAGACTGTGAGGATAAAAACGTTAATTTCAGCAAAACAAGGACATTGCTAGGACCAGAACATACGCACCAAAAGGGAAAATATGGTTTTACATAATGCCAGCCAACAACATTTTTTACAAATTCGTTCTACAGCATGCAGCACTTTCAGACTGTTGCATGGAGAAGCAGAGGAAGACAAGTTCAAAAAGAGAAAAGCTGGTTTTAAAGTGTACAAAGGAAAAAGTCCCTTGCAACCTTTTGTTAAGGGGTATGAAATAGTTCATCTATAAAACTGCATGGTTTCTTATAATGTAAAATAAATGTCATGTTCCTGTGCAAAACAGATGATTAAGAAGAGGTAGATGCAGATACAGCATTCGAACAGATGCAAAAAAATATTTTTTTTTCAAAACGCAGTTGAAATAGTTGGAATGACAATAAAACTCCAGGGGTTGTACCATAAATATAAGTTTAAATGTTAGACTGGAGTTTAAAACCTGTGGTTTTAATTATATCTAATTATAAAGGCTCCAAAACCAGGAGAAATGAGAAAAAACAAAAAAATATTAATAATAAATTAAAACACTTCTGCAATAAGTTGTCAGGATTTGGCCTCGTAATAACAAACCATACAGCAATACACACAGACACATACAATGTACCAATGACTCATTAAGGGAACAAATCAAAACTTCATTAAATTTTATTTTTAAAAGGTGACAGCAGAACTTGCCTAATTTACCCCATTCAAAGTCAAAGCTATTCTCCTCACCAGCTGCACACTCGCAGAGATGGTCAAATAAATCCCGGATGCAAATCTAATACTGTTTTTAAATGTACCACAGGCTGGGAGCAATTCCTAAGTGTAATTTTACTTTGTTCTCTCATAAGTAAAAATCCAATTCCTCAGACATCAGTGTTATATGAGGCTTTTCAATCCATCCTCATGGATGCTTAAAATAAAATGCACCACACCAGACAATATGCTGTCACACAAACATGTTCATACACACACCAATACCACAAACAAAAATGAGCTCACAAACTTATTTGTAGGCTTAAGTTTTCCACTCTGTCAAGATCAGAGATATTGAAGAGCAGGGGGCAAAGCAGAGAGCACAGAAGGGGACAGCACAGGAAGAGGAAGAAACAATTCTTGAGCATTTGAATAAACAAGAGCCACCTGATAGAGGCACTAGGATGATGCTGCCACAAGATAACCTTTATTGGCTCGGATGAAATTTTTCCTGTAGGAACCACAAGTGTTCCTCTCTTCCTTCAGACAACCTTATATCAAACAGCTTTCCTCCTTTCTCCTGATTGACATCAAACAAGGTAGACAAACAGTGAAGAAATCCAGGCAAAAAACTGGTAAGTCCATCAGCAGCAGGCAACAGAACAACGGCCACATATGGGATAACAGTTTCAGCCTCTGAACTTCCATTTCTTTCACTTTCTTCCCCTTCCAAATTTACCCCTTTTCTAACATCTTCAGGACTGTAATGCTGGTTTGCTGGCAGGGAAGGAGAGGGGCAGCAGTATTTAAAATCCAAAGCTATTTCTTCTAATGAATGAAATGAAAAACTGACCTCAACTGAGAAAACAAAGAGCATTCACTGAGGGTGAAATGTATCCCTGCGTAGAGAGCCAGTATTGAGACTGCACCACTGAAGCCCTATTCCAATGACCTAAATAGGAATAAATTGGTGCATGGATTTCACCACAGTGAATTTTGTCCAAAATTACAATTCTTTTTTTGTTTTGTTTTTTTTTTTTTTTTTTTTTTTTTTTTTTTTGTAGAGAATGAGGAAACACATGGCACTCTCCTGTCAAAGCACAAAGGCACAGCACCTTCTTCCCATGCTGGGCACAATCCTGACAACAGCTCTTCAGTGTATCTGCCTAGTGGTTTTAACCTGAAGTCTCTTGTGCTTTGCCTACGTTCTTCTGATTGGAAAGGAAAAGGAGGGAATGCAACATTTGGCATTACTCTTTAAGTTAGCCCAAAGACATAGTGCCTGCAGATAAAGTGGTCCCTCTCCTCAAGGAAGGCATAATTAGCACACACCGTGATTGTTCTAATACAAAAAAATGGAGCCTTGGAAGAAGCCCTCTGTAAGAGCTTGCCTTCCTGTGCACAGGTGAGGATGCTTAACACTTGTGGGCCAGGAGGCCATGATTGTTAAGTGAAAGGGGTGCCCCAATCCCCTTGAGGAAACAAAGAGACATGGCTCAAGAACAGTCAGTGAACTTCTGCTTGAGAGGAGCCCAAGAGCTGAAATTGCAAGTATGAGGAGTATGGCAGGTCAGGAATGAAACACATGAGTCAAGTGTTAACAAAGTAATTGTTACCTCTTAGTAAAGGCTTTAGAAACAAATATCAGAAAAGAAACAGGTTTCACTTTGCTTTCTCGCAGTTCCTTCTTACCATAAAACTTACACAGAGTGTGAAAACTGTGAGAGGAAAGATACCAACTCTACAATGGCTGAAGTTCATTAGCAATATTCCATGACTTGCATAGGTCCCTGACCCTACTTTGCCTGACTCATGGTTATGCTTTAATTCCTCACTTTGATAAGAATCAGATTCCTTCAATCCAGAAAATTAAAGAGAAGGAAAAGAAGTGTAATTTTTTATTGGGAAACATTTCAGAAGATGTTTGCCTTCTGCAAATTCTTCATAATAAAGAAGTTCCATGTCTGTAAGGTTTTGATTTTCCTTGAGTACCTTAAGTCAGTTGGAGCAGGTCAGTTAAGAGTCATATGTAGCTGATTAGTTACAAGGAGAAGGAAGACTAGAGGAGACTATAGCACAAAACGTTTTGGTATCTTTAGAAATCTAGATATAGAAATTACAACCTCAGTCAATTGATCGTTTTCAAGCTCACTTCTTGAACTGGAAACCAAAGATGAAGCCACTGCCACAAGCAAGTATTA